GTCTGTTACGCGTGGTAAAGGCAAAATAGAGCGTTTTTGTTGCTTCAAATTACAAACTTTAGATGTCAATATCAAAGAGTATGACATAAGTAACTTATGTATTCTCTCTTTTACAAGAAAAAACAACTTACTTTCTTTTCAATGATCACTAGAAGATGATAACGATATGATTATATCAGTTTTAACCTTTATCTAATCAAATCAGTGGATCTTATATACCTTTTTTAGGAAGAGAAAACTGCATAATGTTAATTGTTAACATAATTAAGTATGGTCACCTTCCTATTAGGTCAGACCAGAACTCGACCATTTATAGTACAAATTCTGAATACGGATTTGCATTTGAGGTTCATTAAGCATCATTGTACGTTAGCATAAGCCAGCTACATATAATTAAGCGAGCTAATTAAGAGTTTATACAAGTTGCAGAAAAGGTGTTAATATTTAATTCAATTTATTGTAACATGGCCCGAACGTGACTAATTTTCCTTGTTAGATGAGATTAATGTTTCTGTTTATGGAATTTGAATTGGAGTTGTTCCAGTGGGCATGGAAAAGGTTGATTTATTGCGGTGTGTTAACTATTCATACAACTGTACAAGCTGTTTATGTGTCAGAATTTTTTTGGAGTTTTAAGTACAAAAGAATTTACTACATTACACATCAGTCATTGATTAATACTCAAAACCCAACGTGGCAAAATTGTATTCAGTCTGTATTTTTGAGGTTATGAATTATCCATTGAATAATACGGCCCAGCCAATGAAATCCCACACTATCATTTCATATGATTACAAAATATCAAACTTTTACAGAAAAAAAGGAAAGAGAGTCAATAGAGTATGAGAAAATATCTATTCTTATAAAAGGGAACAAAACAAACAAGAAATCGAATTGAAAAGTGTCAATAAAGTAACTCATTTGGTCATGGTTTAGTAGTTACCAAGCAACAGCAATTCTATAATTAGTGTAAATAAATACAAAGAATTACCACTGTAGGTTGGTAGTTATTCAATTTTCATTTTTTGAGGTACAAATGAAATTTGAGGATTTAAAGAAAAAGAGTTATAGGAAAGTAATTATTTTTAGAAACATAATTTGATGCGTGGCTTATAAGTGACTAATCAGATTAAGTGGTTTCTCCAATTCACTAGTGTTGTGTTGTGTCGTGTCGC